AACAAGGAAAACATGGAGCTCAAAGGAAACTGCAGTGAGAGCACAAAGATTATAGGATACTGCGAGCAAATGGGGTAGAGGAGTGCTCTGCTGAGCTACAGACAGAATGGTCTGGTGGTTAAGATAAAATACGTCAAACTTATTACAGTTATCCACAGTCAGCAATGGTGATTTTGCTGGTCTTGCCACTGGACCCAAAGCGCCCCATGGCCTCCACAATATTCATGCCTTTTTTCACATTGCCAAAGACCACATGCTTGCCATCCAGCTACTCAGTCTTGGCAGTGCAGATGAAAAACTGGGAACTGTTTGTGATGGGTCCAGCATTTGCCATGGACAAGATGCCAGGACCTGTATGTTTTAGGGTGAAGTTCTCGTTATTAAATTTCTCCCTGTAGACAGACTTGCCACCAGTGCCATTATGGTGTGTGAAGTCACCATCCTGACACATAAACCCTGGAATAATTCTGTGAAAGAAGGAACACTTATAATCCAATCCCTTCTCTCCAGTGCTCAGATCATGAGTTTTCTGCTGTCTTTGGAAGCTTTTCTGCAAACTGCTTGAAGGAGATGCGGCCCAAGGGCTCGCCGTCATGGTGAACCCCAACGATGTCAAAGAACACGGTGGGGTTCACCATGGTTGATAGTACAGGGCTCCTGGTGGCGGTGTCTGCAAAGCCAGCGTTGTAGGTTTTAAATGAGCATCAGCACCCTGGCCTAGGGTGTTGTTAAGTGTGCCACTTCTCTTGTCCTCACATTCATTTGTCATGTATGGGGATTAGACTAAATGATCACAAAGGCTTATTTGAGTTTACAATTGTGTAATTTCCATGTGACTTATTAATTAGCCTTATTATATTTAATACAATTGTAGTCATTATGTGTGCAGAATAGAGGATCAGACAGATGTTATTCCATGAATATAACTTTAACACGCTATTGATGCTGAAAATTAAAAATTAGAAGAATCTGAATATTGCTTTTTCAAGTGACTACTCCAAAAATAGTTGGCCAGTGCTTTAACCTGTCAGTATCTGAACAAATGGAAGAGTATCCATGTTAGAAAAAAACTCCAAGTGCTTCAATACTGGAAAACAGAGTAAACCTAAAAAGGAAAAGTAGAAGTGAAAGCTCCATCTGGTGGTGAACATCTACAGTTCCAAGAAATTGACATTATACTTCACTGACTGTAGTGCTGGAACCTCAGTTTAGAAATATCTGTGGGTTCTGAAGTGGGAAGATTACTGGCTGTTATGTATTAATTAATATTTAATGGTAGAAGGCAAAGTCTTTCATAGGGTGTTTAGAGTACTTGACTCAAGATAGTCCCTGGGAAAAAAGTTGCAAGGTCAAATATCTTTAAGAAATGTTCTTGGCTACACGTCTTTATTCGACCATAGGATCTTTCCCTCTCTTTTTAGTCTCTGGCATTTTAAGAAATGCCAGTTTGAGGAAGTAGTGAACTTTGGAGTATATGCTTTTAAAAGACTTTCTTTTGAAGGGAGCTTATATGAAATTTTATATTTTTTACAATGTCTTAGATGTTCTGACTTTCCTTTCACAGGACTTAAAAAAAAATTCCATTCCCTTTCTACTCTTCCTCAGGTTGAAGCCTTGTAACCAGCATACTAGAAAAAATTATAGGTGTGGTGGTTCATACCTATAATCCCAACACTTTGAAAGGCCGAGGTGGGAGGATCCCTTGAGTCCAGGAGTTCAATTCCAACCTGGGCAACATAGCAAGACCCCATCCCTATTAAAAAAGAAAAGAAGAGGCCAGGTGCGGTGGCTCACACTTGTAATCCCAGCACTTTGGGAGGCTGAGGTGGGTGGATCACTTGAGGCCAGAAGTTCAAGACCAGCCTGGCCAACATGGTGAAATCCCTGGACTAATAGGCGTGAGCGACCGCACCGGCCTGACTTTCATCTTTTTTTTTTTTTTTTTTTGGGACAGCATCTTGCTGTGTCGCCCAGGCTGGAGTGCAATGGCGTCATCTCGGCTCACTGCAACCTCCACCTCCCGGGTTCAAGCAATTCTCCTGCCTCAGCCTCCCAAGTAGCTGGGACTACGGGTGCCCACCACCACGCCCAGCTAATTTTTATATTTTTAATAGAGACGGGGTTTCACCATGTTGGCCAGGATGGTCTCGATCTCTTGACCTCGTGATCCACCCGCCTTGGCCTCCCAAAGTATTGGGATTACAGGTGTGAGCCACTGCGCCCAATGACTTTCATCTTTTTTAAAGCATAGCTTGGAATAATTGATCAGTAAGGATGAAATAATTCTATGGATGATGAAGTAGCAGAATGTTTCAACATACAAAAAAAAAAAAATTAGTAAATCCCATGATGTGTCCTAGATTTATAAGAGTCCAATGGACCTATACGGGAATTGCAAATAGAATGAGTTTTATTCTATTTTTTAATTTTATGTATTTTATTTTTGAGACTGAATCTCACTCTATTGCCCAGGCAGTGCCACCACAGTCGTGCAATGGCGCCATCACGGGTCATTGCAGCCTTGACCTCCCCGGGTTGAGGTGACTCTCCCACCTCAGCCTCCTGAGTAGCTGAGATTAAAGGTGCACACTACCATGCTCTGCTAATTTTTCTATTTTTTTTTTTTTTGGTAGAGATTGGGTTTCACCACATTTCCCAGGCTGGTCTTGAACTCCTGGGCTCAATGGATCCTGCCCCTTCAGCTTCCCAAACTGCTAGGATTACAGGTGTGAGTCACCATATCTATTTTTTTCAGAAAATAAATTTTCTCTTTGTTGTTTGGAAGACTTCTATGAAGGAATAAAAATCATGAAATATCAATCCTTAAGAATAGAGCTCAAAAACAAAAAAAGAACCCTGAAAGGCTAAAGTTGGGTCCAGTAGATCCTGATCCTGATAGTATATCCAAGAATTAAAGTCATTCATCTTTTTTTTTTTTCTTTTTTTGAGACAGCATCTCGCTCTGTCACCCAGGCTGGAGTGCAGTGGCGTGATCTTGGCTCACTGCAACCTCTGCTCCTGGATTCAAGTGATTCTCCTGCCTCAGCCTCCTGAGTAGCTGGGATTACAGGCACCTGCCACTGCGACCGGCTAATTTTTGTATTTTTAGTAGAGACGGGGTGTCATCATCTTGGCCAGGCTGGTCTAGAACTCCTGACCTTGTGATTCACCTGCCTCAGCCTCCCAAAGTGCTGGGATTACAGGCGTGAACCACTGTGCCTGGATTTAGTCATTCATCTTAAAGCACATAAAGACAGATGCAACTGAGTTTGTTATGCATCCTAACATCTATTTCATTGTAACAGGGAACCAAAACCTTTGATCAACTGAAAACAAAGGAATGAGTTTTTGTTTGTTTTGTTTTTTTTTTTTGAGACAGAATCTCACTCTGTCGTCCAGGCTGGAGTGCAGTGGGGCGATCTTGGCTCACTGCAAGCTCCGCCTCCTGGGTTCACACCATTCTCCTGCCTCAGCCTCCCAAGTAGCTGGGACGAGTAGCTGGGACTACAGGCGCCCGCCACCATGCCCAGCTAATTTTTTGTATTTTTAGTAGAGACAGGGTTTCACCATGTTAGCCACAATGGTCTTGATCTCCTGACCTCGTGATCTGCCCACCTTGGCTTCCCGAAGTGCTGGGATTACTGGTGTGAGCCACTGCGCCTGGCCTGGAATGATGAGTTTTTAAAAAGACTTAATTGAGCTGGATGTTAAAGATGCCTTTCTGGAAACCATGAAATGAATGAAACTACCAAAAGTACTATACTTTGATTTATTCTTCACTGAATTCTAGGATTTCTGTGGATCTTCTCATCAGTGTTGCTAAGGTCTGAATATTTGTCTCCCCTCAAACTCATAGGTTGAAATTCTAACTGCTAAGGTATAGGGAGGTAGGGCCTTTGGGAGGTGAATAGGTCATGAGGGCTGGCCTCTCATGAATGGGATTAGTACCCTTGTGAAAGAGACCCCAGAGAGCTGGCCAGCCCCTTTTGCCATGTGAGAACACAGTTAGAAGGCACTATCTATGAATCAGAGAGCAGGTCCTCACCGGACACCACATCGGTTGGCATCTTGATCCTGGACTTTTCAGCCTCCAGAACAGTGAGAAATAAATTTCTGTTGTTTATGAGCTACCCAGTTGAGGGCATGTTGTTTTAGCAGCCTAAATGGACTAAGATCTATGTCTTTTTACCCTACTCATTCTTAGATCTTGTTGCTTTTTGTGGGTGTACTTATTCCACCTTTATAACATTACCCCTGCTGTTCACCTGGTGTGCTGTCAAGAATCTTCATTAAGGTAGCACCCTGAACCTACTTTATTTGGAAGCCTACACTAATTTTTAGCTTTCGATTCCCATTGCCCTCTTTAGGACTGTATTACAATTTGACAAGCAAACTCATCTTCCACCTTCCAAAACAACTTTAATACACACATTATAGAAAGGGAAATATATGTTTGGTGCTGCTATCTTTTTTTTTTTTTTTTGAGATGGAGTCTCACTCTGTCACCCAGGCTGGAGTGCAATGGCATGGTCTTGGCTCACTGCAAGCTCTGCCTCCCAGGTTCAAGCATTTCTCCTGCCTCAGCATTTCTCCTGCCACTGCCTGTAGCTGGCCTGTAGCTGGGACTACAGGAGCGTGCCACCACACCCATCTCATTTTTGTATTTTTAGTAAAGATGGGGTTTCACTATGTTGGCCAGGATGGTCTCGAACTCCTGACCTTGTGATCCGCCTGCCTCTGCCTCCCAGTATTGGGATTATAGGCGTGAGCCACTGCGCCTAGCCTGGTGCTGCTGTCTTATTTATCATGAATACGAGCTTTGAAGGACAGGGACTTGATCTTTTTTTCCATTCCATAAAATGTGGATATGGCTAAACTTTGCAGGATTTTAGGTGTTGTCATATAAGCAATTAATTCCATGGGCACTTAATTCCATTCCTCTCACTGAAGGATGGGGTTGTCTGAGACCACCAAGCTCTTACGTCTCACCAGTCTGTTGCTTTCTCATTTTGTTCAACTTTTTTCTTGGAAAGAAAAACATTGAATATATCAAGATGAATCAGCCAAATATTGTACTGTGTGTATGTGTTGGGGGTGGGGGGAAACAGAGTAGAGGTGGCAGAGGCAATGTAGGAGGAAAAGACAGGCTGACTAGAATACATAAATAGTACGTGAAATCTTTCGGGCCAGGGATCTGGGCCTACCTTGCCTGCATCATATCACCAGCATCTCAATCGTGTCTGGCACATAGTAAGTGTTCAGTAAATATTTGTTGCACTAAGTGAAAGAATGAACTCTCTTTTTTCAGAGATTATTTGTGATTCTCCGAATCAACCAGGGTCCTTAAGATGTCCTGGAGGCCGTCTCCATTTCTCTCCGTAAGTTAAGGTGTCCGAGTGGCACCAGTGCTCCACTCCTTCCGCGACCTGCAGGTAGTGGGATACGCTGTGGCTCTGCGGGGCGGGGTGAAGGAGCTCCCCCGGCGCCGCTCCCTTTCCCGGTCCCGCTGTGCCCGGTCCCACGCCCCTCGGCCGCCCGGCTGCCTGGGTTGTCCGGGTTCTTCCGCCCCTCCGGCTCGGTCCCCGCTACCTCTCCTCCCTTCTTCCCTCTCGGTACCTTCGCCCGCCGCGCGCCTTTCTCAAATCCTCCGGTTATTAAGCTCAGGGGACGGTGGCCCGCCCGGGTAACTCTGCGCCCGCCCCTTCCTGCCCCCTTCCTGCCCTCACGCCCCGTCCCCTCCTCTTGACGTGGCAGAGGCGGCGCCAGCCATGTTGGCCGGGCGGAGGTCTTCGGTGAGGCCCGGGGCGGGGTGGCGCCAGCCCTGATTGCGGTGCCACGGACTGCTCCTCCTGGGCGGAGAGGACTGATTTTGCAAAGCGGAGGCTGCGACGGGTCCGGCAGGGGGACAGTGAGGTAAGGGCCGCCTCGTCTCCGCTCCTGGGGGACCTCAGGTGCGCAGCGGAAAGCGGGGGCGGGCTGGCGGCGGCGGGCTGGCGGCTGGGGTCCTGGGGTGGTCCCGGCTCTGCCCTCTCGGTGCCCTCGGGCCCGCGAGGTGTGCCGGAGTCTGAGGCCCAGTCCGGCGCGGGGAGCGTTGAGCGGTGAGCTTGCCACCCTCTCACCCACTTGGCTCTGCCGGGGCCGGGGGCCCGGGCTCCTCCTCTGGCTCCCCAGGATTCGGTGGAAAGATGGGAGTCGTGTGGAAAACGGTGGTTGGAGCATCTCGCCCAGCACCCACCCCCACCTCCTGGGCCACCCACCCCCACCTCCTGGGCCACCCACCTCCACCTCCTGGGCCACCCACCTCCACCCAAGCCCATCATCGCCTCTGGGCCCTTGGACTTTCTGTTTCATTCCTTGCCAGATCTGGAGTGTCCTAGACTTTGAACCCAATTAACTACGTCACCCGTAATTCAGCCTTGGAAGTTAAAGGGGAAAAGAGCTAGGTAAAGATAATGCCTTAGGTTTTGATTACAAAAAGTTGAGTTTTCCAGCAGGACCAATCCTATCCCATTGGGCTTTCTTTCTAAGGCAAGTAGTGTTTCCCGATTTGGTGGTAAAGGTACTACCTGAGGAAAGTAATAGTAAATCTACATCAATCACTGGAGGGGGTATGTGGAATTCTCGTTTTCACGTGAACTCCCTTAACCTCTACCCTCCAAAGCCATGGATAACTAGCCAAATTAACTTGATTTAAAAAGGTTTTAGATTAAAATATAAGTGCATGTTAAGTTTTCCTTCTTTTCCTCCTCTGGTAGTGAATGAACATCATTTCAGAAGTAGCGTGATCTCGGCTCACTGCAACCTCCACCTTCCCGGGTTCATGCCATTCTCCTTTCTCAGCCTCCCGAGTAGCTGGGACTGCAGGCGCCTGCCACCACGCCTGGCTTTTTTTGTATTTTTAGTAGAGACAGGGTTTCACTGTGTTAGCCAGGATGGTCTCGATCTCCTGACCTCGTGATCCGTTCATCTCGGCCTCCCAAAGTGCTGAGATTACAAGTGTGAGCCACCACGCCGGGCCTGATTTACAGAATTTTAGAGTTAGATGGGATCTTGTGGTTTTCTAGTCCAAGTCTCTTATCTTGCTGATGAGAAAAACAGAGGATTCAGAGAGGTTAAATTGTCCAAGATCATAAGAAGACAGTTCATTGAGGATTTTACAAGTGAAAAGTAGGAGACAAATTTAATTGGCTACTAACAAATACATCTAATTGGAAGGAACTCAAATTTACTTGGCAAGTAAATTTTCAATTAGGTATGAATAAAAGAGCTTAAATTAGAATATGAGAAACTATCATAGGGAAGTCTTTTTGGTTTGTTTGTTTGAGATGGAGTCTCTCCCTGTCACCCAGGCTGGAGTGCAGTTGAAGGATCTCAGCTCACTGCAAGCTCTGCCTCCCAGGTTCAAGCTGTTCTCCTGCCTCAGCCTCCCTAGTAGCTGGGACTAATAGGCGCCCGCCACCACGCCTGGCTAATTTTTGTATTTTTTAGTAGAGACGGAGTTTAACCATATTGGCCATGCTGGTCTCGATCTCATGACCTCCTGATCCACCCGCCTCGGCCTCCGAAAGTGCTGGGATTACAGGCGTGAGCCACTGCGCCTGGCCAGGGAAGTCTTTTAAAATACTACTTGGGCACATATTTGATATACTAGGTTAAAGTGACATAATGGTTTGCTTCTTAGCTTTTAGCTCTATTATGATAAAATTATGTAACTAAAGTATATTGTACTGAAATCGGACATTTCTTTAGAATAGTCTTTTGTGTTTTGTATCACCTAAAAAAAAAAAAAAAAGACTAGTGGCTGGGCGCAGCGGTTTATGCCTGTATTCCCAGCCCTTTGGGAGGCCGAGGCGGGCGGATCACCTGAGGTCAGGAGTTCAAGACCAGCCTGGCCAACAAGGTGAAACCCCATCCCTATTAAAAATAGAAAAATTAGCCGGGCATAGTAGCTCGCGCCTGTAATCCCAGCTACTCGGGAGGATGAGGCGGGAGAATCGCCTGAACCCGGGAGGTGGAGGTTGCCGTGAGCCGAAATGGCGCCACCGCACTCCAACCTGGGTGGTAGAGTGAGACTCCATCTCAAAAATAAAAGAGACTAGTATGCTAGTATGCTAAGTCTGCATTCTAATATAGTGTGTGGAATAATATTTCTTTGGTTTAATACTTTTATGCAAACCTGTTAGTATTAGGGGAGAGAGTGCTTATCAAATAATATCATTTTATGAAAAGCTAGCTTGTGGCTGGGCCCGGTGGCTCACACCTGTAATCCCAGTACTTTGGGAGGCGGAAGCGGGTGGATCACCTGAGGTCGGGAGTTTGAGACCAGCATGACCAACGTGGAGAAACCCCATCTCTACTAAAAATACAAAAATTAGCCGCGTGTGGTGGCTCACGCCTGTAATCCCAGCTACTCAGGAGGCTGAGGCAGGAGAATTGCTTGAAACCAGGAGGTGGAGTTTGCGGTGAGCCGAGATCGTGCCATTGCACTCCAGCCTGGGCAACAAGAGCAAAACTCTGTCTCAAAAGAAGAAAAGAAAAGAAAATAAAAGAAAAGTTGGCTTGTAAAAGGACTTTATTTCAGATATGCCATTGTTGGACATGGGACTAAGCCTAGCAAACTTTGTCCTTGAATTCGTGATTTTAAGATTGCATGACTACTACAATGGAAAGGTGAGGGAAGTCAGGGAAGTGTTGTGCATAGCCAAGTAATTGGACCAATTAAGAAACAGGACTTTTTTCAAACTACTGCTGGAAAGTGGGAATGTAAGAAGTATAATAGATGTGATTTAGCAAGCAAATTGATCTTAGAGCAGGGAGATTGAGAGGAAAAAATGTGAAGAAGAGAAGGGGAGCTGTGCCCAAATTTCACTAAGGTGATACTTAGTATGTCTTAAGAAGTAAGGATGTAGAGATACAATCCAGCCTGTTAACCAGTTGAAAGTTAAACCTGGCTATTGTCTGTGTGTGAATGTCTTCCTGCTAAGACTCCTGGAACCTTTCGTAGTGTGGTTTCCTCATGGTCCTAAGGCAGTTGTTTTCAGAACCCCTAACTTAAACATTATTGAGTATCCAAAGAGAAAAAAAAAAAAGGCTAAACAGAGGACAGGTGGGTTTTCACATCTGTTTCTGCAGTTCATTGTGATACATTGTTTTGGTTGAATTGTATGAAGGATTAATTAAGAAATTAAAAGGTTAAGGCTGGGCGCGGTGGCTCACGCCTGTAATCCCAGCACTTTGGGAGGCTGACACGGGCGGATCACAAGGTCAGGAGATCGAGACCATCCTGGCTAACATGGTGAAACCCCGTCTCTACTACAAAATACAAAAAACTAGCCGGGCGAGGTGGCGGGCGCCTGTAGTCCCAGCTACTCGGGAGGCTGAGGCAGGAGAATGGCGTAAACCCGGGAGGCGGAGCTTGCAGTGGTCTGAGATCCGGCCACTGCACTCCAGCCTGGGCAACAGAGTGAGACTCCGTCTCAAAAACAAAACAAACAAACAAACAAAAACAAAAAAAATTAGCTGGGCGTGATGGCGGGTGCCTGTAGTACCAGCTACTTGGGAGGCTGAGGCAGGAGAATGGCGTGAACCCAGGAGGCGGAGCTTGCAGTGAGCCGAGATTGCGCCACTACACTCCAGTCTGGGTGACAGAGCGAGACTCCGTCTCAAGAAAAAAAAAAAAAAAAAGGTTAATTGCAGTGTGGAATCTGAAAGCTTAGGAGTGAACTTTTTGAACTTTGTTACCTTCAAACTCATTGGCCTACTCTGCACTTTAAATGGATCATCTACTCTTGCATGATATTTTAGCATCACAAACTGACCGTTTGGAAGATGTTGCTTCACTGAGTAATGTATATCTTCTAAATGTTAATACATTTCGTTATATACTATCAAACAAATTAGATTAATACCAACACTGAGCTCATCAGAAAAATCTTTACATATTAGGAACTTGTCAAGCTTATGGTAGCAGGCACAAGTTTTAAAACAATTTAATGACGGGGAGCGGTAGGGCCAGCACTTTGGGAGGCCGAGGCAGGCAGATCACGAGGTCAGATGATGGAGACTATCCCAGCCAACATGGTGAAACCCCGTCTCTATTGAAAATACAAAAAATTAGCTGGTTGTGGTGGCACGCGCCTGTAGTCCCAGCTACTCGGGAGGCTGAGGCAGGGGAATTGCTTCAACCTGGGAGGCAGAGGCAGAGGTTGCAGGGAGCTGAGATTGCCCCACCGCACTCCATCCTGGCAACAGAGTGAGACTCCGTTTCAAAAAAAAAAAAAAAAAAACCCAAAAATTTAATATTTGCTTGAAAGCTCAAATTTTTATCATTGGCAAAATATACTATCAGTTGTTTTATATAAAGTGATAGGTTTACTTCATACATTTTTGAGAAAATATCTGTATAATACGTAAGTACTAGCCTTGAGAGAATTGAGAAAATAGTCATTCAAAACACTTTTTGTTTTGTGTTTTAGCTATTTTAATGCCTTTTGCAGATGTGTTTTAGATGCATTTTATTATTTTGTTATGACACATTAGAATTTTTATTTTTTCTTAACTACACTAGATTTCTTATGACTTATTTTGTCAAATGTAGTCATCCCTGTTCTGATTTCATTTTATTTTATTAATTTTTTTTTTTTATTTGAGAAGGAGTCTCACTTTGTCGCCCAGGCTAGAGCACGATCTCTGCTCATTGCAACTTCCACCTCCTGGGTTCAAGTGATTCTCCTGCCTTAGCCTCCTGAGTAGCTGGTATTATAGGTACCCACCGCCAGCTCAGCTAATTTTTGTATTTTTAGTAGAGATGGGGTTTCACCATGTTGGCCAGGCTGGTCTTGAACTGCTACCTCAAGCGATCCGCCGGCCTCAGCCTCCCAAAGTGCTAGGATTACAGGTGTGAGCCACTGTGCCTGGCCTTAAAATTTTTTATTTTTTATTTTTAATTTTTGTGAGTACATAGTAGGTGTATACATGCATCTTAAATTATAGGAGCAATTAAGTAGTAAACACAATTTTATTTGCCTTACGTTGTGTATAATAAATGTGGAAGAGGTTTGCATAGTCTTAGAACTTATATTCACATCAGTACTGTGGAAGCTGTTGCTAAAAACTGGATTTCTAATTCCCCCCTCACCTCCACATCCTGGTTGTTTTTTCTTTATTGCCACCTGTGTTACAGTGGGGTTTGACATCTTCTAACTCTCCTCAGAATACCC